GGTATGAGATTTTATTTGGATAGAAAAGAAACTGTAAGATCAGCTTTGGGGGACCAAGCTAGGACATCTGGGAGAGTTTAATAGGGTTCCTTTTAGCACTCTTCCATGCGTTGGGAAACATAACTACTTATACGGGGAGAAAAGACAGATTCTTGATGTTCAGCCACAGAGGTTCAAAGACTGTTTGGTTTTGTTAGATACAGAACACTTTCACCTTTCACTGAAGCCAGAAACTCAGTGCTCAGGAGTTTCCCGGAGTGAGCCCTGAATAAGATCCAGTTAAAGTTTTATATAATCGACAAGTACCATGTAAATTATTTCTTTGAAACTTGTCACATTACATGATTACAAATTTACCAAACAGCTGAAGCACAAACTTTGACCTTCCTGACTTTCAAAGGTCCTTGAGAAAGTAAACTCAAATTTATAATTCAGATTTTAAAAGCAAATAAACATGAGAAAATGTTGAACAAAATTCACGCAAGAATTCAGTGTTTGCTTGCTTTCTTTTTGTTTTAAGTGTTTATTGAGTATGAAATATGTAAGATAACAAGCAAAACTAGATGTTTTGAGCTCGACTATTTTCCTACCCTTGATCTGTAACCATCTGGCAATGTTTGCACCTTTTGTGGGAAAGTGGATCTGGCTTACAGGAGAGAGGTAAATCTTAATCATTGGGTCTCTTTCATGAATTCCTGTAAATGGAATTCCAGTAAGGGGGAAAGTGGTAGTGAGTTTGGGCCATCCAGCTGCCTGAAATGACTTCACACTACAAAAACATTCTGGTCTCAGTGAGGGTTTCTGGAAAGCTGACTGGAAAATCAAACTGTCTTCTGCTTACCAGATCTCAGAAGGATGTAGGTAGACAGAGGTCTAAGTTAAAAACACCAAGAGAGTAATGTAAAGTGTACTTGTGTATCTTTTATGAATGAGAAGATCTGCCTAGCTAAAGAACATTCAGTGCTTCCTCCTTGTCTTAAATTTTTCTGCAGGTAAAACACACAGGCAAATCCCTAGTGGCCTCTGGCCATGATAAAGCCTTAATTAACTAAATCTCCAGTGAATACATAAACAGTTATATAGGCCTAATAATTAAAATAGTACATAGTATATCCGAGGACTTGCCCATGGAAGTAACTGTTTACACAGTTCAGGTACAAACCATGAGAATACCGATGCGAAAGTTCACTGAGGGAAAACTGATTTTGTCTAGGGTGTCACAGCACATCAGTTCCTGCTGCCAGGAATTTTGCTGTGGGAGGTGGTTTCTCTTTGCAGCCTGTCTTCCAAGCTGGACTTTCAGGCAGCTTCTGTCAAAACGAAGCAGAGCAGAGTATCGGGGAGAAAAGACAGCCTGAAGGTGGAAGCACTCCTCAGCTGTCCCTTCTTCTGCGGGCTTGCTTGTGGTCACACACAGCCAACGGACAGAGTGATTTTGTCAGGTGTGCAGTGTCCTGTATAAAACCCTGGCAAGGAGTACTGAAAATAAATACACTAAGTATTTTAAGGTGCTGAGCTACTCCGGGAATAAAGGTCCACACTGAGAACATGAAGTAGCTGGTGACTGTCTGTTTTCTTAAAACATAACCTCTCCTCTTTCCTTTTAGGCAACAGGAGTGCCACAGGAGAACAACTGAGAAGCACCAGCACGCGTTTGCATAAGACCTGCTGAATGTTTAACCAGGGACAGAAGACTTGCATGGCTAAGGCCGACAGCCAGCTATATTTCCATACCTTGTACATAGAAGTACACTAGGGCAGCTTCCAAGCCACCCGCAGTTCCCCCGAGCGAATGCCGATTATGGGACACTAAGCTAACTAGTGCCATAAACTACTTCAGAGGTTAGATGCCTTTTCTTAGGCTCCTGTCAGAATTAAGTGGCTTTTTTTTTGTTTCTAGCCTCCTTTTAATTCCACTTCTGATACCACACTGAGAATATCAGAAATAGGGTTTTTAAACATCATCTGACACTACTTAATAGGCCTACATGTATGTATGCTCTCAACGTAATTAATAACTATATAAACTTCTAAGCTTCCAGTCACTTGTACCTATGGGTAGTACACTAGATACAACTAACAGCAGCTCCTTTTTTTTTTTTTTTTTTCAATTAGGTCTTTTAGGTTTTAATGCTCTAGGCCATTTTGATAGTTTTGTGCATTTTTTACTTTTTTTTTTTTTTTACAATTTCATTTGTCAGATCTTCTTTTAAATAGGAGCAGCAAAATGCTTCATGCACAATGATTTTCAAAACTGATTGGGCAGAAATTTGGGGTTTTAATAAGACTAATCATACTTAATTCAGCTAATGTCCAGTTCCCAAAGTATTCTGTATAGCTACTGAAGAAGGTAACTGAAATAAAACTGGATTTGTGCACAGATTTAAAGTTTTCAGCCTTTTTCTCCTGGTAGCTAAAATATTCATCACATTTTACCAAAATCCAATTCCTCATGAACATCTAAGTCTTTTCCAAGCAATACACTATTAGAAAAGGCTTTAAAAAGTTGGAAGTGTTTCAAACATGCAAGAAATCCTGATCTCAATTAAGTTGGTGGGAGTTCTGCCACTGAGTTCACTGATGCTTAGTTTTATCCTCCAGATTTAGTTACAAGGAAAGAACCACCTTGAAAAAAGTTAACTCTAATTAAACATACCAAAATCAGCAAAGCTGCCCACACTGAGGCTATCCCATTCATTTAATGCAGCTAGTACATAAGACAAGTAGAGAATGTGTCGCAAGTCTCCTAGTCTTGTAGGTGACTGCTGGTTACTCGGGCAGCAGTTTAACGCTATCCTTTTTAGACGAGTCACGTATTTCCCAACATATTGACAAGCCCAGGAAATATTTACTTTATGAGACCCTGTTTCCAGGGAGGCTGTGGCAAATTTTAAAAAAATACGTGAGCAATGTAACTGTTTTCAAGAGAACCTATGCCCTGGGGCTGCAATTACTCCTTGAGGGCCAGTGGGAAAGCAGTGGGTGCTTTGCAATATTGGGCTTTTTTTTGGGGAGGAGGAATAAAGGGAGCGTGGGAGAAGAAAAAAATGAAAAGATAAAGCAGGCCTAAAGGCGAAAGAACAGGGATAAGCATCAGCAGTAAGTGGGGGCTGTCTGCATGAGGTGCACCTGGAGGCTGTGCCAAAGAGGGGTCAAGGGAAGGTGCAGCCCAAAACTGGAAGAAGCATCAGGAGCAATGACACCACAGGCATAAAGAATCCCCTGTGCTTTTCCTGGGCTCCAGCATAACCCAGAGTTTAGCATGTTTCTTTCTCATTCACTATGAACCAATTCCTGAAAAATCTTGTCAAGTGAGATGTTGGGCTTGAACATCTTAATTTGGCATGGCTCATGTTGTTGTGAGAGTGTCACAGCACCACAGATGAGCTGAGGCTGGCAGACCAGTCGCCCTGCTCATGCAGGGTCACCTAGAGCAGGTAGCTCAGGACTACGTCTAGTTGGGTTTTGAGTATCTCCAAGCATGGAGGCACCACAGCCTCTCTGGGCAAAATCTTCCAGTGTTTGACCACCCTCACAGTAAAAAAGCCTTATGTTTAGACAAAATGTCTTGTATTTCAGTTTGCATCCCCTGCCTCTTTTTCTCCTCCTCCTTCTCACAGGACATTAGCAGTTTCACATAACTAACTTCAAATATAGCATATTCATCATGATTTTGCTTACTAGATAAAATTAAAGGACAAACCCAACAGCTTGTAGATCACAGGTTCAGTGAGGTCAGGGGAACTGGAAAGATCAGAGAGACAGCCAAGAAGCACAGCAGCTAGCTGTACCAAGATCCATTGATGTAGAAACTTAGGCAGTACTCCAGCTAGCCACACACATGCCTAGCAAGTGAGGCAGATAAAATATAAGCAGAGAAGATAACAACTATCTACACAAGTTGTCCCAAACACTGTTTAGCCACGGTAAACATGGTATCAAATACTGCATAGAATAATACAGGAATTTCAGTGTTTCAGAACAAGTAAGGGAAGTACCTTACTTACCAGGTACTTATGCCCGCCATACCAGAAACATAAGGGGCTGGCCTCTCCAACATAAAAGGCACTAATACAGGAAACCTCAAGAGAAATGATTAGCTGGGTCCAGAATCCTTAGAACACATACCACAGCCATCACCTTTGCTACTTCCTAAGCACTAGCTATGCATCTTGTGCTCTGTATGGCACAAGCATAAAGCTAATACCTACTGAAAGCAATATTTAATCAATAAATAAGCAATATAATGAGAAATAGAGTCACCTTTTCACTTACACAAATATGTGCACATAATCTGTACTGGCTTAAAACACAGAAACCAGTAACAACAAAATAGTATTTGCACATTATTATGGCTGAACAGCCAAGGTATTAAACCTTCTAGCATATGAAAGTACTTGAGCTTTGGAGCAGTGCTAACTGGCCAATTGATGAGGTAGCAATATGCTGTAGGCTGACAATTAGCTTTCATTGGGCAATGAACAGATGTTTAGCGTTTCATGTGCTTTCATCTGGGAAGGTGCTACTGAGCAGTGTCACTGTAAATTGAAGAGAGTTTAACATTTACCTGGGTTACAGCTAAGATCCTCAAATGGTAAGAGATACTGCCCTAAACCATTAATACTGCTAAATCATTCAGGCTGGCAACAGCAGGAGGAACTCAGTCTAACTATGGTTTGCTGCATTAACTAAGATTTCAGTGAAGCAGCTTCAACAGAAAGACATAGGGAGGCAAAGTTGCGCCAGGAGTGGAGTGAAGTGCAATATTTACATGAATTCAGAAAATTGCAAGGGTTTGGTGGTTTTCTTGTTGTTTTGGAGAGCCATTATTAGAAATTCTGCAAGAAGAGAAGTTGTTTATCAAACACATGTTTTACATGGGAAGGCATATGCCATATGCAAGGGAACAGCTGACAACAGGGGCTCTTCCAGGAATGGAAATGCTATCCCTGTCTGTGTGGCTGTGGCTGATGAGGACGAGATTCACAGAAGCTCAGGACATGTCCTGGGGGTTTGCACCTATCTATAACCAGCAGGTGAGATGCTCTTTTTCCTCCCATGCTAAGCTGTGGGAGCTCTGAAGCCTCTAACAGGAATTGTGGCTGGGAGAGGGTCCCTTGCTGCGTAAACACAGATTCTTAATGTCCTTGTGGATAATTGAGCCTAAAGTTACTTTCTGTCTAACTCACTACAAAATCTTAGCATACAGGCATTAGTTGATTTGTTATTTAAACCTGGGTGACAGCTAAGCCTCTTGATGTTTGAGCATTATTCATCTTCTTCTGTTGTTGATGTACAGAGAACACAGCAGAATCAAAATCCACCCTATATGTAACCCTGCTTCCATTACAAAGTATTTTCCCTAAACCACAAATATACAAGATGTGCTATTCACTACCTATGCCTTATAGTTATTTTTTCACACTCCTCCCATGGCCAAGAGAAAGCTTTGTTACAAGAATATAGCCTTCCCAAGGCTAAAAGAGGTGACCTGCCTACAGTCACTCTGCAGAAACAAGCAGAAAGACCCGAAGCTCAGTCCTTTTCAACCATACTATACATTCCACTCCTGCCGGCTTAGCTCATGAAAGACTTTGCTGTCCTTAAATGTCAGAGAATCTTATGTTCCAGGCATGGACAGTAGCTTCAGCCTCTCTGGCTGGTAAAGGAAGCAAAACCACTGTGGACTAATTGTGCAGGCCTTCAAGACTAGTTCTGACTCTTGTAGCTCATATGAAGCTTTATTCAATAATCAGATCTCAAATCTTTGAATCCTGTGGGTACTTCACACTACCTTGTATTTTGTCAGGGATGAATGACCCCCAAAATGTGGATAGACAAACTCTTCTAACCTAATTGATCATTCCTGCATACAAGAAATGTTTGGGGTTTAACTAATCATGAAACAACTTATGTCTTTTCCAGAACTGTTTCCTCTTTCCTTTTACTCTCCAATTCACTAAAAACGTTTGGTACAGACAGGTAAGTACATTATTTTCTCCTAAAGCCTAACTTCTTGACATCTGAGGTGTGCCTCCTTCCTGTCTCATTGTAGGTTCAGAGGAACAAATAATGTCAAAATCAACTCTATTTGCACTTCATTTCCCAGTAGGAAAAAAAATCCTTTCCTGAACCACAAAGATAAAGTATATATGCTCTTACTGGCTCATGCTTTGGCTTATTTTTCATGCCCATCCTGCTCTTGGTTTTAGATTTATATTCGTTGTGTCTTGTCTTTTTTTTTAAAGCCCTGTGCTTTCCAGGCTTAGTTTAGCTAGCTGGCTGGCCTACGGCCAACAGTGGTGAAGAATATTTTAAAACATGATGATTAAATGTGAATTAATGTACTTCTTAGAGGATGAAACTTAATTAGCCTGCTTCCTTAATTCATAATAATTAAAGAAATTACATAAAAGGATTGTGTGGCACATGCTACTCTGCTCTGGCCAGTGTCCCTGAGATCCACACGAGTCACAAACCTACCATGAGCAAAACATGTTCCCTGACCAGAAAGCAAAACTTCTGCTCCAAAAGACAACTACATCCTGTTCTCTGCTCCCACTCAGTATTCAGATTCAGACCTTCAGTATCTCTGTTTTTCCATTTTTGTTTGTGTTTTAAATTATATCATGAATGCAGTGTGTTTGATTTTCTTTGTAAGTCACTGTCTCAGGAAGCTCTCAGAGCAGCAGCCAGAAAAATGAACCTCCTCCTCTCTCCCTGTCTGAAAAAGATGTCCCTGCAATACATCACCTGTTTGCAATCAGCACTCTGATCAAATAAGCATGCTTAAAGTGTTTCTTCTGTTCTTTCTATCTGCAGGCAGGCACAAAGCTTTGCCCTTAAGAGAGCTGCAGAACAGCTGTGTGAGTGCTTGGCACTAGGTGCAGAGACCTCCTGTTGATCACTCACTTAGAAGATGGCCCTGAAATTGTGCATCCTAAGCATAAGAACAGGCAATCCTGAGGAGCAGGAATAGCTCTGGAGATTAGGGAACTGCTCTGTAAATGATGAGGGTCTGTTGCTGCTGCAACAACTAAGTTCATTTGAGGTCTGGTTACATACGGTTATAGAAGCCCTGGTTTGAATCTTACACTGAAATATTGAAAAACGTGCTGGGAGGCACTCAGAGCTGTGGCATATAGCTATTCCTTTGTTGTAACTAGGGCTCTGAATGGGCCTGGGGTTGCTGGTACAAGAATTTTTAGCGAGCATATTCATAGGGAAGAAAACAGCATTTGTAAAAGATTGCTTCAAAGGAAATGTGCAAAATAGTCCTGTTTAAACTCAGAGGCTTGAGAAAGCCTTATCACCTATTTGGGCTAGATCTTTATTCAACATAGGTTGGAATAGCAATGCTGTCATCAACCGACTAACAATGTATGTTTTACATTGGTTGAATCAATGGTTCTTATCTTAAGTCTTTATTGGGACTGAGTCCTTAATTCTGGTTATATTTATTACCCGAGACTTCAAACTGTGGTCTTCCCTGAACATGGTTACTTATGAGTGAAAAGGTACGCCCTCACTGCTTGAGAAAAACTTTCCAGAGTTTCATGTTGGCCAGGAGTATTCAGAATTAGGGTGTCCGGACAAAAGGCAAGTGGGAGAGGAAAAGCCTCTTCCCACATCATTGCATCAGTTAAAACAAATAGCACGCCTGTTTGCTTTTGCACTTCACTTCACTGCTTCATTGCAACATAAATTCAGATTAAGGAGGTCCTTTCATTTCTAGTACCTACTTTGGGGTTCTGATATCTTGGAAAAATAAAACCCTTGGGTTAAGGCTTATGGTCTGAATTCTTGCCCCTGCTCTGTTGGCACGAAGCACTTGAAAAAAACAGCTTATGTCATCTCTAGAGTCCCCAAACTTAAAATTTTCCTTAACACAGTGGTTAGGACATTTTGCAGAGCAGTGCAATATTCCAATCATAAACTTTCTTAAATCAGGCAGGGAAAGTACTCAAGGTTCTCAATGAAAATGAAATGCATAAAGTACAAGAATGTAAATTATTGTTGCCTTCTTACACAGGCTGTGGTATCACTAGTGCCATTCCTCCATGGATCGTGGAAGTATATTATAGGTATTAGAGAATTCGACTCTGATACACCAAATGAGCTAAATTATGCCTAAGTAACTCATATAGCCTCAGCTGCTGCAGCATCTGACCTCCTAAAAATATTTATTCCTACTGTATGAAGCCTGTGGCAGGTGACTATTAAGATATTTAATAATAAGGGAATTGAGGCACAGTGAAATTGGTGACCTTCTGTCAGACAGGGCAGATAGCTCTGCAAACCCTATGCTAGTTTCCAGTCCACTTAGCTAGTCTGCATTTCTGTTGCTGCCTAAAAAAAATATTATCTTCCATGGAGAGCTAAAATATAAGGAGAGTAAATGTTCTTATAGAGCACCCATAATTCAGTTACCTTGCACTTCTATTGTAAGACTAAAAAGTTGAACTAAGACCTAGAAATATCAAATGCCCCTTTACAGGGAAAGACCACTCCCAAAGGAAGTAACACTAGGTATTTTGTAGTAGTCTTTGACTCTAAAGTCACAATCATAACATTCAATAAAAGCATCTTTCGTAATCAAAAAGTCCCAACCACTTGTTCAGGTCTTTTTCCACAGAGCTGAAAATGATTCAAAACACATGGAAAATTCTTTCCATAGACTCATACTAAAATAAAGGTGGGGTTTTGGAAACCAGTTAGTTCTAAACAAAACAAGACCCAAATAGTGACTTGCCTTTGGAATTCCCTATTTGCACCTGTGGAGCAGCTAGTAAGAGGATCCCAAGTAAATGAGTGAGTCAGAGTCAGTGCAACATTAAATGCTTACCTTAATTAGAAGCCATTTCTTTGAAACAGTTGCTTTTCTCTGTTATTGGAATAGCTGCAGGGGATATCTCACTGTCACTTGAGAAAAACAAAGTGATTGCAAATGACTGCATGTTCACAGCGTCACTAGCTTGGGCTTGCAACCCCTATTGAGAGCCAGCTATAACGTATGACAGAGAGATTCTGAAGCTCAGGCTTTGCCATGGGCTGCAGGCTCCCTGGGGTTAACTGTGTGAAGACATTTGTACAGTTCAGTGAGGAACACTCAGGACGAAGACTCACCAGTGATTTAAAATGGACAGGCCAAGCAGTTGCTACCTCCACCTATCTATCTGCCCATCTATCTTCCAAAGGCTGGAGCCTCATAGCAGGCTGAAGCTGCTTCTGAGGCACAACAGTCTGCAGCTTTGCATATTAAGACACACTGAAATTGGTGCCAGATTTGTTACATGCGGAGCAGTAAATCACCAAAGTTCATGAGGAGCTACACATACTTTGGGCTGTCCTTGGTGCAAGGTGGAAAGGAAAGTGTGGCGGTCAGGTCACATTTAATAAACAGTGAAGCAGCAACTACTTCAACTGTCAGCTACTTCCTTCAGATTTAGGTTGGGATGAAAGAAAATATTTTTATATGGTACTAGGTCTACTCATTGACATGACAACTTGGAACTACTAGCGGTTCCTTTAACCCTCTACACAGATGCTCTAACCCTGTTAAAGAAATACAGTGGCACTAATGAAAAGCAGCAGCACATTAAGTTACCACACAGATACACCTACATACTACCCCACGCTCTGGGTTCATGGAAGTGATCCCATGTTCAAATAAACAGAATTTAAATAACCATGCATGAGAAACCATGCAACAAAGAAGGAAAGATGATGACCTTGGACCAAGCAGTCCTACTGGCAGTAATCATGAGGTTCTAAGACCAGAGCTGCCTACACAAACCAGATCTCACATGAATTTTTTATAGAAGTCTTCAATCAACTCAGTCTTTGCTTCCGAAGATCACGTAAGATCTCCCCATGTAAGATTCCCTTGAGGACTCTGGGGAAAACTTTCCCTTAGAAAAGATCTGGAATTATTGATTGGTGAAAGGGCAATGATTTAGCAATTAAAAGCAGTGCTGATTTTTCAATATTATTGTGATGCAAATAGCTTATACCAAACATTAAGAGTGCTGAGAAG